AAATAAATGTAAAACAGTTGCGCACCCACAGTAAATGGTCCAGTTGGATTATAATTAGGTTCACATGCAGACCAGCCATGGTTGTGAAAGTTTAACTAAAATGTTATCAGGCATTTGCCGGAGTGTCTGACAGCTCTGTGAAAATCTTTTTTAAAACTCAGTCTACACTCACAACACAGATGAAGTGGATTTAATTAAAACATATACATGTATGTGAAGTGATTAAAGGTACTTTATGTTTATTTTAAGTAAATATGTTACTTTTACTCAATTCAGTTGAACAGAACCAGTTGACATAATTTTTTTGACATATCAGTTTTTTGACTGAACTGAAAACTGAAATCTTCAGAAAACTTCACGTTGGAAATCTGCATATTCGAAACCTATAATTTTTGTATTTATTCTTACCTGTTTTTTTTTAGACACGAGAGGAGTGGCAGGGTGTGTTTCTCATCGCCTCACTTGTTCATTATGGAGGTGTTATATTCTACGGTTTGTAACCTTTTCTCCTCAAGATCAATGACGTATTCAACTTTATTTTGTTTTCAGTGGAATCAATTCATGAAACACATGCTGTACTTTGTGGTAGTACTATTTAAGCCTGTAATAGAACCCTGCTATTTATAACCTGATTGATTTATTATTATTACTTTTTTTTACATGTTTATGTACTGCAGGCATCTTTGCTTCCGGAGAGAAACAACCGTGGGCCGAGCCAGAGGAACTCAACGTGGAGAAGTGTGGCATCCTGGATGAGGACGAGCTCGCCAACGAGACGGAGGAGCTCTACCGTACGAGTGGCGGGGTCGGATATGGAGCCATGAACCAGGCTTCGGATCCCAATGGAGCAGGAGGAGGCTGGGTCTCAGACTGGGATAAAACAGAGGAGTACGTCCAACCGTCTGGGACCAACAATTATCTTTACGGAGAGGAGGGCGATCGAGAACTAACATAGAAACAGCAGATTCCTCACCTATGTTCCTGTAAAAAGACACAGACTGCACACAGTGTGGGATCTCACTTTGAAGAAATTTGGGAATCGTGGATTCAAAATGAAGGACAATTCTTGGTAAATGTGACTATAGTAACTCAAATGAACTGATTTTAAAGACTGCTGACTACATTAGTTCATGTAAAATGTGTTTGTATGTGATTGCAGTGGTGTGCAGTGATTGTTTTAGGAATCAGAAGCCTTGCAGTCTTTGCTGGAGGTGGGATGTACTTTTGGGCGGATGTGGCTTCCATTGTTGTTTAATAATTGTAGAAATTTCTGTGCTAACGATCACAACATGGTATTTACTCATATGCCTATCATTTTAATCCTTCTAATTTTTAAATACACAGATCACAGTCCTTTTAATCTTAGGTGAATTGTTGAGRAGTTTCAGACGCAAAGTTTCTGCAGATTGCAGGGAAATAAACAGCTCTCTATACGTTAAAACAGAATGGTTACCCTATAATGACAGTGTTAATTTATGTCCTTAATCTGCACATATAAGAAAAAACACTGTGCCAATGCAACAAAATATTTTTTTCTGTAGTATCGGTTTATTTATTTGCTGAATACTAACCGATCAGCAGCAAATGTTACTTCATGCATCGTTCTGTGAGGTAGATGGCAAAATGATTAGATTAAAATCAACAAAACAATTTTTTTGTCTTGTTACAAAATTCAACATCTGAATCATTTTTCATTAAAATTTTGTTGTATTATATGTTTCATTAAAAATAAAGAAATATATGTATATTTAGTGGGGTTGTGTGGAGTAGGTTTGAATAGACAGTGTCTTACCTGCAGGGTTTCGATTTCAATAAATGGGAAGAAATTCTAATGCAGGAAACAAAGCAAGGCCCATTTACACCACCTGATACAACAGACGTTTCATCTCTATCTGCTTTTTAAATGCTTTTATCTGTTTTATTACTTTTTACATCTTGTTTTATTTATTTATTTATTTATTTATTTATTTATTTATTGCATGGAGCAGTTGTTTACAGTGTCAAAGTTTCTCAACCCATTGTGTGCACTAAGGCTTCTAGCTGCAATACATTGCTGATCAGTAATGACTGACAGTTCTACTGGTCTCATCCTATGGAAAAATCAACTACACAGTAAAGAAAAGTGATCTTTTTTAGAACAAAGTCGTCTCCTTCCTTAGAAGAGATAATCACAGGACAAGACGTTAGAGGTGCTACTGAGCTGCAGTGCTACAGGTAAACCACAGCACTGCAGCAGTTACCATTAGCATTGCAGCATGAAAATATTTTAACTGAGAAATAACAACTTGAACAACTGTCTCATGAAAAAGCATTGCGATACAAATTCAGCTACTTTTATCATTTTAAGATTTAATATTATAGATGAATCTTTACTCTTATTGGGCTCTGCTCAGAGTAGGGTTAGCTTGACTGCCCCATGAGGATTTCAACTGGATTTTCCAAACTGAGATCTCTCTGACTGTCTACTGCAGGTAAGATACTGAACACACATAAGTCACACATACCATCCTAAAATGGTGAAAATAGTTATTGTATCAAATATATTTAAGCTAGTGTTCATCAGAATGGCATCGGAACTGGTTTTCTGTCACCACAGTTGGCTAATGAGGTTGTTTTGAAGCACTTTTGTTTAAATATGGACTTTCATATTGTTTTGCTTCATTTTCCTGTTAACCACAAAGCCAAGAGTTAAAGTTAGTAAGTGTGTTAGGTCAGCAGAGTATTATAATGACTGAAAATCGGTGATAGTGGAAAATTCAATGTAAAGATTTTTATTGGTTTTGTTTTTGATTTTAATTTAAAAATGTGTAAAACTCATGTGAAAACATTGTATAATAAAACTTAGAGGTGGTCATTTTTGTCCAAAAACATTTTTCTGTAGCTAAAGCTGATTATCTTTGTTTGGGTTTTAGTTTTTGCTGAAGAAATATACACTATATTGCCAAACGTATTTGCTCACTTATCCAAATGACTGTGCACCAGTGCACAAAGCAAGGTCCATAAAGACATGGATGGCAGAGTCTGGTGTGGATGAACTTGACTGGTCTGCACAGAGTCCTGACCTCAGCCCGATAGAACACCTTTGGGATGAAATAGAGCAGATACTGAGAGCCAGGCCTTCTGTCCAACATCAGTATGTGACCTCACAAATGTGCTTCTGGAAGAATGGTCAAAAATCCCCATAAACACTCCTAAACCTTGTGGACAGCCTTCAGAAGAGTTGAAGCTGTTCTAGCTGCAAAGGATGGACCAACATCATATTGAACCCTATAGATTAGGACTGGGATGTTACTGAATCTCATTTGTGAGTCAAGACAGGTGATCAAATACTTTTGGCAATATAGTGTATGTTCAAAGCTACTTTCTGTATTTTTATGGGAGCATTTGCATTTTTTTGGCTAACATTATATTTTCTGAAAATATTTTTATTTACTCCTAATGAACTCAACAAACACTTTTTTTAGCTCAGATGAGAAGAAAGCCCTAAGAAAACTGGTGGTATCCGGCAGGGACTTTCTTCATCTTTCCACAGTAAAATGAATGTGAAGATTTAAATTTTGATATCTGCAATCAATAAAATTATCCTTCTTGTACAAAAACAAGGAAAAAATGGAAGGAGGAGAAGAAAAAGAAGAAATAATACAGAAAAGGAGAGCTAATATTTGATAATATTTCAACATTATATCTGCATGTTTGTGTTGTAAAATGAGCAGAAGCATGAAGTGGAGATGAACAGAAATGTTGCTGTTAAATCAGCCAATGTCATATTTAGTTTATTCTGGTAAATAAATGACCGTGGTTGCTTTATAAGCAAAGCTGAAAGATAATCACACTTTTTGCTATGAGGTCACAGTGCTAACACCAAGCAGTCCAAAGAAAAGGTATATTTATTACATAAAGATGTTTTTTAATAATAATAATATTAAAAGGTTTTCTTAAATTCTCATGTAATGCTTACTGCAGGCTTAAACAGCACTGGTTAGTGTGTAAAAAATTACCCTAAATACTTTATTTCTAGTTGGACATAAGAACTATACAAAGTAAAATATTCTTATTATTTTAAAACAAGTAGGTTTACAATAATACATTTATTTGTAATATACTTAAAAGAATACCATGAAGTAACTAAGTACAGAGGTCAAAGTTTATGGTTACAACTGACTAATAACGTCCATTTAATGGATGATAACATCCGAAGCGGGTGATAAATGACTTAATCTGTATTTGACAACCACATTTTCTGTTTTGTAAATATGTATTGTGTAACTCCTGACTTTTCAAATCTTCTGTGGTCTCACCCTGTTAAATATATTTTAAAAAACATCAAAAGGTTTAATAATCCACAGTCATTTTCTTTTCTTACCAACCCTCTGCCCACCACAGCTACAACTTTCTTCCTGGTCTGTCTGCCGGCGGGGCCCGGGTCCTCCATGTCGCCCGTTGGTTCTGTGGTGGTCTGGCCCACAAACTGTCCGGTTTAAGTGGGACTTACAGAACTGCTGAGTTAAAACTTAAAAGAGGAGGGCCGATGAAGAGCGTTGGATCAGTTCACAACCAGTTCCTCTTTCTGTCCAAAACTCATCTGACAGAGAACTGAACCTGCTCACGTCTGGACTTTAAATCTGTTTCATCAGGGCAAAAATAGAGATTAYAAATTCAGTTTTTGAGTTTAAAATAAGAAAACCTGCCTCTCTGTCTTTGTTGATGCAGTTTGATGTCTGTATTTGAAGAATAGAATAAAAAAAGAAAAAAGGTCAGAAAGATGAGTTTTTAGGTCCCAGCAGAATRAAACGAACWAATTCTGCTTTTCAATTTGTTGCAAATTACTGATCAGGAGATACTAAATGATGTTGCAGTTCAGAAGTAAAGAAATCTGTTTACATCTAGTGGTGAGGCAATGACARTACAGAGACTGAAAATTATATTTAATAAATCAGATTTAACTGGTTCAGATTCTTCTTTCTGCTGTTCTGTCTTCAAGTGTCTTCATAGTAAATTATCCAGCCTGGTTTTTCTGCTTCACCTCGTTTTCCTGGACAGTTGATCCAAAGACTGCGTTAAAAAAAAGGGTTAAATCTTGATTTTAACATTTAAAATGTTCCTTTGCACAAATTTGGACTTTTTTTTCCTTTATGCTTTTTTATTTGAAAAAAAAAAAAAAAACCATTTACACACATCATTTCTGATTGTTTGTTTACATGTTTTAATT